TGTGTGTGTGTGTGTGTGTACGAGTGTTACACGTTCAGACATTTTGGTTTATACAACCGACTGAGACACTTAATCATCCGCTATCGAAACCCATTCAGAATTGTGCAAGCATCCGGTGGGGTTAGTCAGTTCGGCTTTCATTTGGTTTACACCATCTCGTCCTTCCCACCCTCAGTTCCGCTGCTGTGATCACTTACAACCTTGCCTACGGTGTTCTATTCGTTACTTTTATGCTTTTAAATGGACTGCACTATACACCGGTAGTTGTGCAACGAAATTACTATGGATAAGCTGAGTTGATCAATGTTGTAGGCTTGTTCATCATCTCGTGCCTAACGAGTGATTTTATTTCAAACTCTTTCATCCTAAGTGGCAATTAGGTCTGTTCTATCGGCAAGTCAATAAAACGAATAACAAATCGACTTGGTACTACTACTCAGGCCCTCAACCGGTCTAGGCACTTCCTCCAGATCATCATCATTTTAGAGGTGTAAGCATATTTCGAATAGCGTCACACGATGCTGATGCTGATGATGATGATGATGATGATGATGATGATGCACTGTGGTCATTTGTTAATAAAAGGATATTCGCATGAGAGCAAGAAGGAGCATCATGATCACAGGATTTGTTGAATTCAATTATTTATCAGTAATCGCATCAGCTGTGTACATACATTCAGATCACGTTTGGTTAAAAGAGTGACAGGTTTGGGGAGAGGCGAACGCACACGGGGAAGAGAAATCATTCAATATGTAGTCCAAAGGTCACCAATAGGAACGGGATCGGGTATAGGGGCAGGGAGCGGAATCACTGAAGGGTCGGTGGAGAGGAGAGGGAGGAGGTCAGCGATACCTACCAGCGGGCAGCGCGAAACTAGCCACAAATTCGGTCTGTTTACATAGATCGGGCTTGTAATGTCGACTGGCAGCCGCTTCAGGAAACCGTAGTAGACGACTACCTTTCTGTCGGATCAAGACACGAAAAGTGTGCCTAGGTTTGTCACACCTTTTGCAATACGTTAGACGCCAATTTTTTTGTTGGTGATATTGGTGATTCCGCTTTCTGCTCCTATGCCCAATCCGGTTCATATTAGTGAGCTTCGTGCTGTTTGATTTGTCTTTTCCCCGTGTCTGTTCGCCCATCCCAAAACCGGTCACTCTTTTAAACTAACTTGATCCGAATTTATGTACAGAGCTGATGAGGTGATGAAATAGTTGAATTCAACACGTCCAGTGATCATGGTGCTTCTTCTTGCTCTCATGAAAATGTTAAAGGGGACTGGTTGCATGAAAAGGATATTCGTCATACAACAAATCAGGTGAGTACGTACAAGGAGGATTGGACACGTTACAGTTGTTTCGACCTCATTGCCATGGTCGTGCGTGGATTCGTCGACCAAGCCGAGAATCGCGCACATGTAATGTGGAACATTATCATCAGCGCGATCCTCAGTTGAGTCAATGGATTGAAAATAATTGGCAGCATTTAAGCGGGTAGTTTTTAAACCGTTCCTTTCCAATCTCCTATGTGCACTCTTAATCATACGCGCACCATTAGGGTTCCCATCCACCCTCAACACACACTCATGGTTCACTATGTCGTATAATTCGATCTTATGGGTTGGTAGATGAAACAGTACAAGCAAGCCTATGTGCCGCGTTACTGTTCGTTCAATGAATCTGACCTTAATAAAGCGGAATTTAGGGCTAGGTACAGTCACTGATCCATGTGTGTGTGTGATTGATGTGCACAAATTGTGTGTGTGTGTGTGTGT